CTCTACCGGAAGTGTCATGGCGTCTTTTGTCTAATAATAAAATTTCGCAAACAAATATCTTAATTTAGAGGTTTAATAATGATTAAAGCAATATTGGTTTTTAATAATCACGGAAAGCCACGTTTATCAAAATTTTACCAATACTATGTAAGTTTATTTTTAGTGTTACTTATTTTTAGAATAATAAGAAACGTTTCGTTTTTCTGGCAGATCTACTCGATCTAGATCTAGAAACTATAGTCGGAGGTAGTCAACGCCCACTTCTTTAAAGTTGAACAGATCTAGATCTAGATCTAGAAATCTAGATCTAGATCTAGATCTAAAATCTACATCTAGATATTTTATATAGATTCTAGACCTCAATGTGGATGATTTTAGATACCAATGTCCGATAATAGACTTTTCCATAAAATATGCGTGTTGGGTTGTTAAGTTTGTATTAATCTCAAATATCAAATGATTTTATTTTAATCTTAAAAATTAGGCCTACTTAATGAAATTATTAGGTTAAACTGTTAAGGCGGCGTATGTATGGTAATGGTAGGTACTAGGTAGGACTAGATCTAGCTACTAGAGTACTTTAGAGTAGGGTTAGGCCGTTAGGGTTAGGGACAGGGTTAGCATTTACATTAGCCAGCTTGAGTACGTAAAATTGCCTGCGGCTATTAATGTACGAAAACGTTACCTCATTGTCAAGGCTGTAATAGAAGTATATTGTGATATGTTTGTGTCAAATATTATGGATAGGCCTAAATGAATAATAAACCTAAATCAATGGCTAAATATATCAATATAATATAGGCCAGAAATTAACTTTAAACAGCAGTGTCTGCAAGCAAGATTTGCTATATAAACAGCAGCCATTTGTAAAATAGAGTGACTTCCGCCTGAATCTCGCGCTATAAGTCTTTAACAAGATGGCTGCTATAGTAAATAAGCATGGTTGCTTCTGTTGAAAACATCGCTGGTTTTCATTTATTACTGAAAAGTTTTAATTCATTTGTTTAAAAACAGGTACATAAATGAAACAAGGAAACATTTTTGTATTTTTCAAAACATAAATCCTCCTCAAAATGTGAAATAATTATTAAAATGTAAGGAGTCACCTGTTTTTCACATTACTAGTCGCGGGCGATTTTACGTACCTAAAACGATAGATTACCTAATGTGTATATTTAGTTAACTACTAGATTCTAGATCTAGTGTTACCTAACACTTCACACCTCTTTTTTTTTTAAAGAAGATTCTATTATAGGACACTGGTATAAAAATTCTCCCTAAATCTTGCTAGGTTTAGAATCTAGATCTATTCAATAATATAACGAAGTGTCTATTCACAGTCGACTGTGAATAGCCGTATTGGGGCTATTCACAGTCGTGACCGTTTTTGATAGATTTAATGTTAAAAATACTTTAATGGGCATGAAGATGTGTAGTCGAGCGGTCATGGGGATTGGCTCTCGTGCCAGAAGGTGCGGGTTCAAATCCTTCAGATGTCATATTGCTATTTCTTGATGTATGCCTTTTAATCTTATTATCAGAGTATTTTTTCACAGTTACTTAAGTTACTCATGAAAGGGTTATTTTTGTTAATTTTTTTGGTGATGTAATTGTTGGCATATCAGCAAAAAAAAAAAAAAAAACCTGTCCTGTCGATTTTTGCTAAGAGAAAAAACACTGAAGTGTGATGGAAATTGCGAATTATAGTTGATGAATAAGGACATCCTATTTCACCTGATATTTATTCTAGATCTAGACCTCTATGTGATAATGTGAATTTTTAATGGTAATTGATAGTTGAATAGAAATGTGAACAACCAACTAAACTGATGCTTAATTAGTATTATTTATTTAAAAATTGATAGATCCAGATCTATTATTCTAATGTACAGATTTAGAGTGCATAATTGATCATCTATGACCTACGTAATATGTAGCCTGTTGCAGTATGTCTTATATTTTATGAACCTAAAAGCTAAACTAAATTTGAATTGTAATAACTTTTTTATAAAAATATACAAAATAAAATTAGCACTGCTCTCTTAATCTATACCTCACTCCCCAGTCACAACGATTGCTTTTATTATTTTAAGATATTATTTAGCATGAAATGACAGCCGACTGTGAATAGCCGTATTGGGGCTATTCACAGTCGGCTGGGAATAGCCCCAATACGGCTATTCCCAACCGGCTTGGAATAACCTTGGCCATAATATAAATAAGATTTACTTCTAGAATCGTGCTGTACTCTAGTGCCTACTCACTGGTCTTACATATATACTACATACTGACTATGATACTAGTACTACATAGTAGTAGATACATGATGCATAGTATCTTGAATATATAGTAATACATATTTACTTATTTATTTGGCCTACTATTAATTATTTATTATTAATACATACATTTAGGCCCTAATACATGCATATTACTGTTACATAAGCCTTCACAATTTAAAAAAAAATTACACACATAGCTTGTGGACCTGGTCTCTTAATTGAATTTAATTCTTAGTATATAGTAATTTGATAGGCCTTATGATCTAATCAAATCTATTTTTTTTTTTTTAAATTTGAATTTAATTCTTAGTATATAGTAATTTGATAGGCCTTATGATCTAATCAAATCTATTTTGGGTTTACTAATTTGAAGTGACTACTTGGGAAAAGATTTTTTGGCAGAAGATACGAAACTCAATAGTTCTGCACATGCGCAGTGACCTTAATAGCTGCGTTAGGGTTAGGGCTAGAGCAGTGTTTCTTCCAGACTTTTTTCTCCGGGGGGGGGGGGGGGCACTTGAAATCTTCGGGGGGGGGGGGCGGTAAACTTTCTTCGGGGGGGCGGACACTGTTAAAAGTATATATTTTCTATATAAATTATATAAATTTCATTTCGTTCGGGGGGCGGTAAAAATTTTTCGGGGGGGCTAAGCCCCCCCCGAAGAGATGCCTGGAAGAAACTCTGGGCTAGAGTAGAGTTAGGGCTAGAGTAGGGTTAGGGCTAGAGTAGAGTTAGGGTTAGGGCTAGAGTAGAGTTAGGGCTAGAGTAGGGTTAGGGCTAGAGTAGAGTTAGGGCTAGAGTAGAGTTAGGGCTAGAGTAGAGTTGGGGTTGGGGCTAGAGTAGAGTTAGGGTTAGGGCTAGAGTAGAGTTAGGGCTAGAGTAGAGTTAGGTTTGGGGTTCTGTGGTTTCTTTGGAAACACATGCATGCACAGTACCATTGAAATATCATCATGGAAAACATGGCAGCAAATGAAGGCGGTAGTTTCTCTCCACTGGGCATGTGTATCTTTTTCCTGCTAGAATGTTTCTCTCCACTGGGCATGTGTATCTTTTTCCTGCTAGAATGTTTCTCTCCACTGGGCATGTGTATCTTTTTCCTGCTAGAATGTTTCTCTCCACTGGGCATGTGTATCTTTTTCCTGCTAGAATGTTTCTCTCCACTGGGCATGTGTATCTTTTTCCTGCTAGAATGTTTCTCTCCACTGGGCATGTGTATCTTTTTCCTGCTAGAATGTTTCTCTCCACTGGGCATGTGTATCTTTTTCCTGCTAGAATGTTTCTCTCCACTGGGCATGTGTATCTTTTTCCTGCTAGAATGTTTCTCTCCACTGGGCATGTGTATCTTTTTCCTGCTAGAATGTTTCTCTCCACTGGGCATGTGTATCTTTTTCCTGCTAGAATGTTCCTCTCCACTGGGCATGTGTATCTTTTTCCTGCTAGAATGTTTCTCTCCACTGGGCATGTGTATCTTTTTCCTGCTAGAATTGGCCTTAATAATTTTAGTTTACTTTTGAAACTGTAAAATAATGGCTTAGTCTGTCACACTGTTCTGGAATCGACAACAAGTACTGTACAAGATACGTTATTTTGATTATTTTATATTTTGGGCCATCTTTTTTTTTTTAAATATGCCTTTAGTAGGTAGCCTACAGTATCTTGAAAAGTTTGGTTAGATAGATTTTACTGCCTGAGTACAATACTGTTTTACTAGGCTAACCCAACCCTAACCCTAACTTGAAAGATCTTTAACTCAGAAAGTCTCCTCCCCCCTCCTTATACAATCGGTATTTAAGTGTGAGTGGGTATCAAGCAAATAAATATAGGCCTTTGTTTACAAGGGTATATTTTATTCTTTAGCAAGATAAACTAATGGGATATGAAATAAATGAAGACTATCAGTGTATGCATTCAGCTTGGTACAATAGAATGAACACACTTATAAAATGTGTTTTTAACTAATATTTCTAATTTTAATAAGATTTTGGACCCTGCACAGTCTACTTGGTGAATTTAATCAACCAATGTTCAATTAATAATTTCCACCTTTGGCTTATAATGTTTAAGACAGCTTAGATACATCTTTATTTTACATTTTAAATATTTTAATTTTAATTGGCCAAATAATATAATACAAATATAAGAGAATTTGTAAGCGGAGAAAGGTAGTATTGATATCGCTAATACTTAAGCCTACGGGGTCCATTTTGTTAGTCGGGGTTTACAGCTTGTGAACGTCTGAAGAAGAAAGTAAAAACATTTGTGAAAATAACATTAAATAAAAATGTACCGACTCACAGTAAATTCAAATTAAGTCTGAATGTTTTCTTTTTTTAATGGATCTAAATACCAACGGATATAGCGACAAAACATTAGCGATACCGCTTTTCTCGATTTTTAGATTTAAGCCTCTACTATAATGCATTACGAAAAAGATGATTTTCGTAGTTAAAAAAATTAAACTAAAAATCGTATAGTCTTACTCAAATCGAACCTAGTGTCATTATTTTTAGTTTTAAATCATTATATGTGTAACTTAATTTCAACTTTGTGTTGAGTTATCGTATACCTAATTCAATGATTAGTAGCACGTTGTACAGGCCGCAACATATTAGCTCAATTCATACAATTTTTACTATTTAAAAAAGGTTAATTTATTATCTTTGAATCCTCCCATTTACTACTTTAATTATTAAAATTCTTTAAGAAAAAAAGTATAAAGATGGGTGACATAAAATTCCTATAAAACGAAGGAACATGAAAATGCGGTATCGATACCGCTTATACGGTACCTAGTTTGTGAGACATTTTGCTTAGTCTGCTAAATGGATAAACATAAAATAAATATGCTAGTTAGGAAGCTTAAT